GGATCATTGAACACGTGTTCAATGAGCTCTGGCTCGTTAGGCTCGTTTTTTAACGATCTGAAAAAATTACGGCTCAGATCGCTCGTTTTCTGGCGAGCCACGAGCCAGCTCGCGAGCCGGGCTCGTTTTGACACCTCTAAGTGTGAAGGATCAAATACACATGTGGTGAGCATAGATTCTCTATGGCCCTGGAGAAAGATCTCTTCTTTTTACCCCCTTTTTTAAAAATATTTAAATTAAAAAACAGTATTTTTGCTCTCTAATTATAAGATTTGACATAATATCATATGGACTGTTTCTAAAGATACAATGAATGATGGCCAAGGCAGGTCAACTTAATAATGGGATAGAATTTTAGATCATTCGTTAATGGAAGACAATGTTACTTATGAGAGATAATAGATGAATGCGATAAGGTTTTTATATGTTTTCTACTTTATTTTGCACATCTGATATTCTCGATCGCAATTCACAAAGCCTCCTTTAATCTTTTTCCCTTTTTAATGAAATTGTCTCAATTATCATTCATCATTACAATATAATATAATATTTTCAGACCTGCTACAGACAAAACAAAATTGTTGACCATTGAGATTTTGTGTACTTTTAAAACGATTTCGAATTATTACACGAAAAAAAAATATTACGAAATCTTAATCATTCCGTATGATATATTTTCAGCATTTTTTCTACACCCATTTTTTTTTTTAAAAAAAACGTAGTTATTTTTAAGAAAAATAAACATTGTTCTTCCTATAAATCAATATTTCTGTGTCTAAACACTTCAATTAATTATCGCAGCAAAATTCAATTTTTTTTATATGAAGTTTTGTATACTCTTTTTACTATCAATCTATCCCACACTGACTAAGTTTTGTATGCATTTGTAAACAAGAAAGAACTATCTTCCCGCCTAGACGATACGACTATATTTAGGTTTTAGAATATTGTTAGAAACTAATACATGTACAAATTATATTTACGAACTCATTTTTATTAATTACAATATATTTTGTATTTCAAACACCAGTGTCTATTTGTAAAAGAATTTTTTACAAATATTTGCAAAATATATTTCCCAAGTTTCTCAATATAAGTCATTTTACAGTTTATATGGAGTTTGAAATTTCTTGTTAATAAAAAAATAGATTTAAATAAAATAAAATAAAATTATATGATAATACTATATATATTTTAAAGTATAAAAATATAAAATTATTTTTATGTTGAAAGAACAACAAGGAAGACTAATGAAGATGATAATCGCGAACCTAATCCGAGATGGATCCCCTGCGGCGAGCACACCGTAAGACCGGCTAAGCCAAAAGCGAGAGATAGAGACACGAGTAAACCCAATCGCCGGTCCCGCTTGCCTCACTCTCTGGTAATGTGTCAACTTCTCATTGGGCCACGTCATCAACAAATCAAATCTCAGAACGCGGTGATAACGCCGTGGGCGGCGTTGCAGGGGATTGCGCTCGGAGAAGAAGATAAGTCCAAAGAAAAGCGAGTGACATAACTCTTCCTCCCCTTCTCAATACGGAAAAAAGGTTCACGATTTGACCTCCCAATTTTGTTCCTTTTTAAAAAAAAATTCTTTTTACAAATCTTGATATTTTTTTTAGTCCATATATACATATATATATATATATATATATATATATATTGTTCGGTATGATTTTAGTCTATAATTACCAACAATTTCATGTTATTTATTCACGTAATGATATATCCTGCGGGCTACAACATATATAAAAAATATTCATTATATAAAAAATTAAGTACAAAAAAAGTATGTATTAATTTTGTTATATACTCCATCCCATGAATGCC